GAAACTGGTCCTTGTACGGGCCTATTTAGCCAGAGCAGCCCCACCCCGGTTGAACAGCAATTTTTTTGTTTATGCAGTAAAACTTAAACTGACCCTGCCTACCCCACCCCCCCCCGCCCACACCCTGGGGAACTTACTTAAAAGCAAGTCCGGGAAACCAGTCCCAGGTAACAAAGCCCAAATACAAGGGTGGGTCAGGTCAGGTGGAGATAACAGCCAGAATGCAGGGATGGGTCAGGCCAGATGCGTGTATCAAATCGGTGGGGGCGCATACCGTCTCCCTAGCTACAAAGGAGTATGGGCCCCGCCCCTTGGGTGCCCTTTGGGCGCCAATTCCAACCAAGGTGATAGTTCAAATATCTACTATAGGGTAAATTGTAATTCAATTGGTCACTTATGTGTGACCTAGCATGACTGTGTAGCTTTCTCTGTGTTACAATCTCATTGGTCACCTGTGCATGGCCAGGCCCAACCACATGGCCTTTGCCCTTAAAAGCTAGCCTGTAAAGAAGAGAGGGGTCGCCTCTTTGCAAGAGACGGCCCTGGCCGGTCAGTTTGATTCTCGATGCTTGGCGCGAAATAAAGCTTTGCTTGACCTTCGCTTTGTATCAGTCTCGTTCCTTTGACCACGGACCCAACAGTCCTCAGCACTTGAGCCATGCCCAGCTGATAGTCACAACATTCCTGGCCGAGCTCCTCAAAGTGTGGTCAGCTAACTGCTCGCCATCCCTGGGGCTTATCAAATGCAGACTGCCTGACCCACCTCAGGCACACAGAATAAGTACCTCTGTGATCAGCCTGGGGCTGTGTTTTATCAAGCTCCCCAGTGAAACTTGGAGAATCATACTAAGGAAGCAGCCCTGCTGATCCACAAATTGCTCCAGGAAGGATTGTTTTCAAAATAAAAGTGGGGAATTTAAAGGCCCTTAGAAGAGAAAAGCATGGAAGACTGAGAAGACCAACAGGCAAGGAGAGAAAAGAAAGGAAGGAAGAGGTCAAAGTGGTAGAAATGAAAAGAGTGATATAATCTGATCTCATACTTTGGGGGTGCCAACCCTAGAAGCTCTGGAAGATTCCCTCCTCTCCTCCATTCCGGTCCAACCAAGTCTGCTGGGTTACTTATGGAGAGTATGCCTTTGGGAAATTTCCTCTAAAATACATCTGCTGCTGGTGGCACTTAGAGTCTGACTGCGCAGCTGCCTCAGTTGGTCTGACAGAGGTGACACCTTGAGAATCCACAACTGGCCAAACTCCCAGTATTCTTTCCCAGGTTCAAAACTTCTAGGACCAAAAAGCCAGGACCTAATGGATCTAGTGGCTGACTGAACCTTGTATCTACCCTTAAACCAGGACAGGAATACAAGCAGACAAGGAGCGATAGCATATCCAATTCAGAATCACCATTGTACTTGCCATATAAATACAATTTCTTGTCTTCTTTCTTTCTCCCTCCCCCGACCCAGTCGCACCATGGGCATAAGCATTTCCTCTCCCCTCATATATTTCTATTTGCACATATGGTACAGGGTGACAGCCCACTGATAGTAGTTTCATATTACAGACTCACAGAATGAGAAAACTGTAGCTGACAGCAGGCACCCACCATACAACCCTGTTACACAGTCCGACCATTTCTTTCATCAGCACTTACCTGAGTGGTGGTCCTTATGGATCTTCTTTGCAGCTGCTTATAGCCAAGCAACCCTGAGCCATGCCATTTATGCAGAATTTTAGTTTACTGCATTGAGAACAAACAAAACTGCTACTCTTTCTGCTTACCTAGACTTAGGAGGCTTTGAGATGTGTTCAGACTCAAGAGGGAATTGGAGCCATTGGTTTAATAAAAACAACTGAGGATCACCAATGGGTCCAAATTCCATTCAACTGAGGACATTTGCATCTGATTTGTGATGACCTAGAATAACAGAGATCTGTGGGTTTTGATTGCTCTCTTCCAAATGATGCCAGAAAAAGCAAAAACAAAAACAGAAACAACGGCTGCTGCCTAGGTGAACCACAAATCTCAATGACACTCAGCACACCTGGGCTATTGTTAAAGATTAGCTCATAAACGTAGCAATAGCCACTAGCCGCAATTTCTAAGTGATTCTCTTGTAAAGAGAACACATTTATCTTTCCCTTTTTGTTGTTTTTTGCTTTGCTTCCTTAATACACACACACACACACACACACAAATTAGTTATTGTGAACAATCAAGAAAGAAATGGAAATTCAGGGTTATTGCTCTAATAAGACTACCTTTGCATTTTGAATCATTACTGATGTGTCCTGTTTTGCAGAACTGACATAAGTACCCCGATAAATGTTTCTTATTTATCAAACACTCTCAGTAAATCTCACCATGTCTGTCAAACTTTTGGGCGTGTTACTTTTAGTCAGCTGGCTTAGAAACATGCAGCTTCACCCCAACACGTAATCAGGCAACAAAAGCTAGAGATGGGGCAGAAACATTCAGAAAAGTCCTCCTGAGGACAATCGCAGATCCTGGCACTCTGTTGATTGATATCTGGCTCACCTTAAGGGTGTTTGTGAACCAGTAGGAAATAATTTTCTGGAGAAGGCCACGGACTTGAAGACGGTTGTTTGAGTACTTAATAATAAATGGTTTCCAGTTGATAGGAAAATATTGAAATGTGACTTATATATACGAAACTGATTCAAATTTGATAAACATGTCCCCAAAGGAAATTGCTGGGTTTATTAAAAGCCTAGGGAGGCTAAACAGAATTGCAATTGTCTTCCCTATAGTCCTTGCTGAGGTGGAGAAAGCACTCCCCAGTCCACCTTGTAACCAAGCAAGGAGGAAGGTCAATAATAAGGAAAGAACAGGGCTGTCCTTGGTCTGAGTTAAAAGCGGCTATCAGCTGCCGAGATACCCCGTGCAAGCTGTCGTCCACAAAGTAAGTGTCGCTGCCTTGCTGGTAAAATGTGATGTGTTGATGACTGTTATATTACATCTAAAATCCCATTTACTAGTAATAGAAAAGTTCAGTTAAGAGTTTTGCCTTATGTCTCCTGGTGCTTGATAGAGCGTTGTGTGATATTGCCAATTTTCGCTTCAGGCGTATTCACATGCAACAGTGAAGACTTCACAAGAATTTGCACATTTGATCCAGGGTGAAATTATGCCATTTTCATAGCAAATCAACTTTTCTTTGGCAGCAAAATGATAGGTACTTTTGCACCCAGAGAAATGTCTTTGTTTTCAAGGAATTTGAGAAAATTAAAAAACAAAACAAAACAAAACAAAACCGAAGTTCTTTGTCTATGGGGATTGTGATCCAGGTGTTCTCAGCAGAGGCCCAGCAGGTAAGAATCCTGTTGTCCTGTTTTCTGACCTGGAGCACTTCCTTAACCTTTCTTATTTTGACTTTCTTCTTAAAAAAAAAAAAAAAAGAAAGAAAGAAAGAAAAAGAAAAATGGGAGTCACATGCAATCTTTCTCTCCTGTGTGTCACAGGCCGTTCTGGGATGCCTTCCCATCTCTAACGTTGTACAACATTGTCTGCAAAAGGGCAAATTGCTGTGGATGTAACATGTGAAATTTCACCTCAATGTGCTCTCCTTTTAGCGGTGTTGGAAGCAGCAGGAATTTACTCATGCAGCCCTACTGATTTGCAGACTGGGAGTAAATACTAGGCCTTTTGCAGCGATAACCAAGAGCCCCCCTTCAGTAGACATGATCTACTGCATCCCATGAAAGTGGTGGATTGAGGAGTGAGTCAGCTGAGCCATTCTGTACACACCTAGCTAGGTTGCAGTTTATACTCAGACAGAGCTGTGAGTGGCTTTCAGAGGAAGAGAGAGAAGAACAGTTCTCTGGAAATTTTCGACCAGGATCAGAAACCAAACTCTGCTTTGTCACTGCTATTTAAAACACCACCACCACCACCACCAACAACAACAATAACAGATTCTTTCTCCATTGCAGGAAGAAATTAACAGATAGGTTCTGGGGGGAGGGGGGTAAGGAGAGGGTGGGGGGCTTATGGACATTGGGGAGGGTATGTGTTATGGTAAGTGCTGTGAACTGTGTAAACCTGATGATTCACAGACCTGTACCCATGGGTCTAATAATGCCTTATATGTTAATTTAAAAAAAATTTTAAAAACAACAAAAACAGATAGGTTTTTCTCTTCTTTTCCTATAGTGTTCCTTTCTGAGATTGCTAAGGAGCTCCCTTGACTCCTTACATGACTTTTCTTTTTAACAGTGCATAGATTCTTTCTCTAAATTCTGTGTTGAGGACACAGTCTATGACTCTTGCTTGTTGAGCTTAGTCTGGAATTACCCAGCTTTGCTTTTGGAAACAAAATGTTCTGTAGAGTCCTGCATTGCTACTACAGGCCAAACTGAAGGGAAATAGAAGGAGGAAAGATTGATTCTTGTGGTATTTCATTTTTATTCAGTAAATAAAGGATTTTAACTTGAAGGTTTGGAAAATATGGTGGCCAAACCAGGAAAATGTCGGTTTAGGTCAAATTTAGTGTTAGGTGGTCAAACAGTCTATTGTATTATTGAATTACACACACACACACACACACACACTACTTGCCTCAACTAAATTACATATATAAATACATACAATGTATTTAGAACAAGCAAATATAAATTACACGTGTTTATGTGTGTGTGTGTGTATATGTGTGTGTAAATATATATATACAAAATATTACTTGCCTCTGATAAATTATTTTTCAATAATAATAGTAGTTTCCTGATTTTGTCTGGAAGAAAATAGATCTAAGATAGTTATTGTATTGACATTATTTTGTCTAGTTTTGTTACCTCTCCAAGAACATATTTGAGGCATCAAATGCTATTCTATGTAAAATGTGGAGGGTAATAACTTTTTTTAAAAGATGCGATACAAAAATAGAAAGGATGAATACTTGTCATACCATAGCAAGCATGTGACTGTATACACATAGTTTACCCCCAGCAAAATACAGCACAAAATGCGATGGCTCTCATAGAAATTAACTGTGTAGATGTAGCAGGAATTGCAGCTTGTCAGGTTGTGACACCACGATGTTTGTGGCTTCAGGGCCCTGCTGCCTTCGGATTCTGGCATAATTTGCCCTGACCTCCATCAGTTGCTTTAACTCTGTTAAAAAGATTATTTTGAGAGACATGTCATGTATTTATAGAAAGTAATTAAAAAGTCCAAGATGATGAAAACTCAAAGATCCCTCAGAAATCCTTGACTCCCACCCTGGACTCTCTCATTACACACTTGACTTGCTTATCACATCAGATACGTGTTAACATTCTTTGGATTTCTACAGAATGGCATTTCTGGAGAGGGCTTCCTTCCAGGCTTTGTACAAAGCCTGAATTGGAGGCTAACCTGGGAGTGGTCTAGAAGTTGAACCCAGTGAAAAGACGGTAAACACAGTAGTGTGAACAATGTTCTAATTCGATGACAAATGGCATAAAGCACTCTTTTAATTTTGTTGGGGGTTTTTGTGAAAGAAATCATTCTAACAGCATCTGATTTGTTTTGCCAAAACAAATCCATTTTTCAAAAACCCAGTGTGATCCTTTGATGACTGACTTTCACAAGCTAAATGTTTTCACACTATAGTATATAAAATAAGTTATAGAGTGGTTAGTTTTGAAACTGCCAGGCTGCCTTATTTTCTACCACATAGTTAAGCCAGTAGGTCACAGCAAAATTTTGAATGGAATAATTAATTGTCCCTTTGTAAATAAATACATAAATACATGTGTGTGTAAGTGTGTGCTAGTAGCCTTTCTCTCTTCTTTTTTAAAACATCCTGAATATTTAGATTTCTAATTAATAATTATTTCTAACTTAATTATTCCAGGAGAAACAGTAAATGGCAACTCATATAGTGAAATGAATTTTTTCCTCTATTTTTTTTTTTAAAGATTTTATTTACTTGACAGAGAGAGAGTAGGCGGAGAGGCAGGCAAAGAGAGAGGAGGAAGCAGGCTCTCCGCCAAGCAGAGAGCCCAATGTGGGGCTAAATTCCAGGACCCCAGGATCATGACCCGAGCCAAAGGCAGAGGCTTTAACCCACTGAGCCACCCAGGCACCCCATGAAGCAAATTTCTGAAGAACAGCTTGAACTTTTCTATCAGTCAGATTTCCTAGAATACATATCACCCATGGAAAAGAACTTAAGACAACTGGGGAAAACCACTAACCTTTTCACCAGGAAGGTAACATGGGAACCTACTTTCTGAGGAAAAGAATCGACTTTCACATCATAGTAATCCATGTGGTCACAGAACTGAAGATGTAAAAATAAACGTTTGTCTACACAACCTTGTCCTTCGACCACAAAGCTAACATGGAAGAAAATGGCAAGGAAAGTAACATTTGCATTTCTTGTTTTCTCTCTCTCCTTCAGTTTTTCTTGGTAACAAGCTTGCTTCTGGCAAGGGGACCTACATTTCTCTCTGTGTTTTGGATATCCCTTTGGCCAGTTGCCTGAGGCATAGTTAGCTTTATTTATCAGAAAGGCCCAAAGAACACAATGAGGCCAGGAGGGTAGGGGCCAGGCAACAGAAGACCATCCCAAGAGTATAAAAGATTAAGCTTAAACAATGAAGAAAATGGGAAAGTTCTCCCTACTGCACCACTTGTTTGTTTACTATTCAATTGTACTGCAATATTTCAAGTGTGTTCATATTCCTAATTAGATTGAAAACTCTTTTGGGGAAGGAATCTTGGCTTATATTTCTTTTATAAGGCTACATAGTTTGGGAACACAAAGACTGTCAACTAATACTCACTAATGATAAGAACCCCCAAATTGGTGTGTTCCTCTAAGTGTAATGAGGGTCACCAAGAGCTGGGGTGGTGGGTAATGGTGAGTGATGAGGACAACAGCCTAGAAAGAATACAAAATTAGAGCTTCTTCCTTGATGTAGGATGGCACTGGAAGAATAGTTGTGGCATCCCTGACAGCAGTGCTAGATATCCCAATAAGTCCTTGTCTTCCTGCATTTCAGTCTTTTTTCCTTTACTTTTGTTCTGGGCTAAATGTAAAGATATGATTGCAGCTGTTTTAAAGGTTCTGGTTTCTGTACCTTACATATAACACAGTAATAACAATTTTATGGTGACTTTTAAGAAGAAATAATCTAGTATTTGTTCTTTTAGGGATCCCAGGTGATTCACTTCCTAATCTTTTGATTTCTTTTAAAGTGATATCATGTTCTTCAGAATTCCTAAAAATTATGTCTTCATTAATGTATACCTACCCCCAGAAAGGGGCTTTAAATACCTCAGGCAAACAGGATAAAGGACGAAAGTTGGTTTAATAACAAACAAATATATGTTGTTTTCCATTTCTATTACTTCTAAAATGAGCATATACATTCTTATTATTAAAAAAAGAAATCTGCAGGGGCACCTGGGTGGCTCAGTCAGTTAAGCATCTGACTTTGGCTAAAGTCATGATTTAGAGTCCTGGAATCAAGCCCCCCTTTAGGATCCCTGCTCAGCTTAGACTCTGCTTGTCCCTCTCTGTCTGCCCCTCCTCCCCCTGCTCATGCATAAATAAATAAATAAATAAATAAATAAAATCTTTTAAAAATATCTGCAAACTGTATAGTTGCAATTAATAAACCATTAAGTTTTAAATAACTTGAAAGTAGGAAGTCAACAGAGCCTCCTTTCCTCAGGGTTTATGCTAAGGGAACACATTCAAATGGGGCCATTTAGAATTTCTGAAAATAAGCCTCTTGGATAAGGCTCAAGGCTAACAGAACTTTGAATTCTTGAGTGCAAACAATGTCAACAGTGAGTTTCCAGCACAAAAGTATATAAATTTAACTTTAGTAACACCAAGTAGAAAAGTGTGGAAGAAGGTAATTATTAAAAAGCATCACAATGGGATATACAATTCAGAAAGCAAGCTCTTTAAAGAGAAGACTATTTTAATTCTTCAAAAACTCAATGGAAAAGAGACTGTCTCCCGTACCTTTTTGGGTTATAAAGCCATGTCCCGTGGAAACGCAGATGACCATGTCTCGTTCTATGTCATCCCATGAGTGAATTGGTTCTCCATCAGGTGTGTACAGTGTTGTGGCTGGGCGGACCATTTTAAGACGAGAGGAGCAGTCACTCAGCAGCTGAAACACAAAGGGACTGACGTTTTGGAACATGAAATGTCACAACAATAATTAAGTCTTAAAGAATCAACTCCTTTAAGGGAGCTATTATCCCAGGTTGAATATTTATTTTACTTGTAATTTTTAGAAAGAGGTATAGAAGGAGCTGGAAGAAGAGCATATGAAATTTCCCCAAAGTGCTTTAACAATGAAGAACTTCAGTGCTCTTAGTGGATTTTTCCTTGTAGTTCTATTTCCATGTGGAAGAAGGCATCTTGCTATTTTAAAAAATGCCTAAATATGAAAGAGAATTGAGAATCTAGAGAGAATCTTGAGACTTGAGAATCTAGACTTGTCAGAATAGCAGAAAGTAATTTTGTTTGTTTGTTTGTTTGTTTGTTTGTTTCAAAAAGCAAGGAACCTGAAGGACAAAAGCACTGACCCAGAGATGGGGTGGCCTAGGCCTCTGGCTTCTCCATGACCTCAGACTAGTCAGGCAACTTCTCTATAAGAAGAGTCCCTTCAACTATAAAATCGAAGTTTTTATCTAAGACCTCTTTGATTCTATGATTAGGAAGTCTTTTTTCCCGCTTTTTAATTTGGAAAATTTAAAAACTATCTATAAGAGCCTTACTCAGTTGTTCTCAGTTTTCCTTGAAATATTCAAAAAATATATATACATAGATACAAAGTGTTGTTAGGTCCCCCAATAATGGGTCCGTGATTAAAGGAGCGAGACTGATAGAAAGTGAAGGTCAAGCAAAGCTTTATTCCGCGCCAAACATCAAGAATCTAACCGAACGTTCAGGGACACACCTCTTGCAAGAGAGGGCGACCTTTCTCTGTTTCACAGACTAGCTTTTAAGGGCAAAGGCCATGTGGTGGGCCTGGCCACGCACAGGTGGCCAATGAGATTGTAACACACAGAGGAAACTCCACAGTCATGTTAGGTCACACATAAGTGACCAATTGAATTACAATTTACCCTATAGTAGACATTTGACCTAGCCTATCACCTTGGTTAGAATTGGCGCCCAAAAGGTGCCCAAAGGGCAGGGCCCATACTCCTTGGTAACTAGGGAGATAGTGTGCATCCCCCCACTGATTGGATGTCTCCACCTAGCCTGACCCACCCTTGTATTTGGGCTGTTACCTGGGGCTGGTTTCCGGGACTTGTTTTTAAGTAAGTCCCCTGGGGGAAGGGGAGCAGGGACAGTTTAAGGGTTAAACAACAGGATTATTGTTTAACCTTGATGGAAGCCTCTGGCTAAATAGGTCCTTACAGTGTCAACAGTACTAGAAAGATCAGTCAATATGTTGTCAGACCCCTAAAGGCAGTTCCATGAACGTGTGAATAAGACTTTAGGAGAGAATAATAAAAGCCAGGAGGAGGAAAATTAGAGGTTTCTACACATTTGCCTATATGACTTTTTCCTCCCATATATGCCAAACGCCTGTTCCTCCAAAATGCAGGAACGACGTCCACAGGAACCACAAAGATAGATCTACTTAAAGGCTATGACTCACGACAATGAGGCCTGGCAGGGGGCAGAACTGGGCACATAATGGCACCTTGCATATGGAAAATGAATCAGTAATGTGAAGCAAGACCAGATAGTGATGAGACAATGTAATCAGAGAGTGCAGATTCCACCCACTACTCTGGGCAAGGGATGAGTGAATTGAATTGAGTAGAATTGAAATTACCCAAGAATACATTCTCTTCTGCAGATCGTCAGAGAAGAACAGTGGGAGAGTGGTCTCAGATGCAGCCCTAGCCATCCTGCTAGGTAACGGCCAGTCAGCAGCGGTCTGAGTCCATACTGTGCATGTGAACCAGCATGGGGTCTGAAGATCCAGTAGAGGATCCTGACAGCTCCCAAGTCAAAATTTAGGTCAACCAAAGAGAACTGATCTATCCTGACTGTTTTCTGTCAAAAAATCTCTCCTTGTATAAGGAGGTATAGATAAAAAATTAACAGCAGCAACAGTATGAGGCTTGTGAAAGTATTCTACAACATAAAAAGCTGTATGTTTTCCACTGTATTCAAGGGGAAGAGTCAGTAAAATATTTACAGCAGAAATACATTTTAGAGAATATCTGTATTGGGTTTTCCCAAAATCCAATAAAATATGGCTTCTGTAAACACAGACATGCGCATGCGCACAAAGGCCATGTGGTTTGATGAGATGACAGAAGTTTAAAGGAAAGAAGTATCACTGAGGCATGGGCAGACATGATGATGATGATAGTGATGATGATGACAGTAACAATAACAGCAGTTAAAATTTATTGACACATTTCTTTTTTTTTTTAAGCTTTTTAAATTTTTTATTTATTTGACAGGCAGAGATCACAAGTAGGCAGAGAGGCAGGCAGAGAGAGAGAGAGAGAGGTGGAAGCAGGCTCCCTGCTGAGCACAGAGCCCAAAGTGGGGCTCGATCCCAGGACCCTGGGATTATGACCCGAGCCGAAGGCAGAGGCTTTAACCCACTGAGCCACCCAGGCCCCCCTATTGACACATTTCTATGGGATAGAAACTTTTCTAAAAGTTTCCAAGTTTCCAAGTTTCCAAGGACAATCTGATTTCATTCTCTGGAAAGACTTATTATCTCCATTTTATTGATGATGAAATTGGAGAACAGAGATTAAATTTCTTAACCCAGGTCACACAGCTAGTAAGAGAAGGAACAGGGTTTCCAACTGGGATGAATAGAGAGCTAAATGAAAAGAGGAGAGAAGGTAAGGAAATAAAAGACTCAATAGTACAATTAAAATCTCTCTTGAAAGCAGAAAATGAGCAGACTGAATATTGTAGAAAATCAAATCAGTATTAGGGAGGACTAAGTGGAGAAAATCTCAAAGGATATAAAGAAAGAATAAGACATAAATTTTAGGAGAGAAAGGTTAAACATCTGGAATGTCAAGACATCAGATATTAAACCTATACATTATTGTGTTACTGGAGAGGAATTCAGAATAAATTAAACTTAAGCAACTATCAAAAAAAATTGAAGGAAATTTTTCTGTCCCAACAAAGACCCATATCTTCAGATCAAATGGGCTAACTTAGGACAAGGCAAAGTTAATAAAAAAAATGACTAACACTTAAATATAATTGAGTTGAAAAGTCTGAATTTCAGACATGGGGGGAAAATTCAGTTATATTTAGACCTTTTTTTCTGCAAAAATGAATGCCAAAGAAAATGGAATAAAATACGCATTTTTTTAGGAGAAAAGTTTTTAATGTAAGAATTCTGTATCCAGCTGAATTTTTACTTTTTGTTTCAGGCAACAAAAGATATCCTCATGTATACAAAGCTCACAAAACATATCACCTACATACATTTCAGATTATTAAGAAATGAATGAAATTCCTTTACTATGGGAAAGTCATAATATGAAATGACTAATAGTAAACAGTGAGACCACAAGAACATGAGATATAACTGCTATAAAAACGTGGTCAGAAAATAAGTGAATTAACAATTTTAAAGTCTTCACAGAGAAAAAAATGAAGTAAAAATGCAAAGCATCAAAGGGACATGGGCAAGGAAGAGAAAACCAAAGCATTCCAACTTTCTAGTTATCCATGAGATCAAAAGATGCTGTTTTTTTGGTTTTCCTTTGTTAAGAACATTTATTTTTATGATTATAACCAATGCAATAAAACCTAAAATCAGAATAAGAGAAGTAGTTCATCTGTAGGAATAAACAAAATCATGTGAACTTAATATGATTTTATTCTTAGAAAATTTATGTGAATCAAGTAAGATATTAATAATGAGAGAAAAATGCTTAATAAAATGGCCAAGCATAAAATAAATTATAAAACATTGATAGTTTTTTGTTCACAAAAATAGGTGTTTAGAAAATAGAGTTGAAAATCCATCCTAACAATAAAACAAATTAGGAATGACAATTATTTTAAAATGTGCGATGCAGGGTTCCTGGGTGGCTCAGTTGGTTAAGGCTCTGACTCTTGATTTCAGCTCGGGTCATGATCTCAGGATCCTGAGATCAAGCCCCACGTGGAGCTCCCCCACTCAGTGTGGAGTCTGCTTGAGATTTTCTCTCTCTCCCTCTCCCTCTGCCCCTGCCCTACTCACCCCCATGCACTCTCTCTCTCTCTTTCTCTCCCTCTAAAATAAAAAAATAAATCTTTTTTTAAAATTACAAAAGTTTACTGAAGGACCAAAAAAAAGGCATATATATGTATATATACATATATATAGACACACAAACACATAAGAAACAATGCCACAGAATTCAGTCAGGCTGCAAAGATTGAATATCACAAAAGGTGTTGATTTTTATGAAATTAATTAATAGCCTAATACAATTGCAGTCAAAACACCTGCAGGATGATTTTTAGGTGTTGAAATGTAATTCCAAAATTCATCTATAAGCATCAACATGTAAGGATATTCAAGTAAAATCTGAAAACAAAGTACAATAGGCAATTTCTATCAGATAGCAAAATATAAAGCTATAATAATTCAAGAAGTGTTAGATACATTAGATTGTTTAAGAGCAGAAGCTAATGAAGAATTTAGCATATTATAACATTTGTAGTCCAGTTCAGCTGGGATTAGTCAGTAAGTAGGGCTGAGATAATAATTTTAAGCCAACAAATAAAACAGAGAAGTAACTTTAGTCAAATTTTACACTAGAAGAGAGTTTCACACAGTTTAAAAAGTAAACGAAAAAGGCAAAATTATAAAAAATTTGAAGAAAATCTGATGACTCTTCATATGACCTCAGGATAGTAAAAGACTATCAGAACACTTAAAAGCAAAGAACAAACTTTTAAAATACATTAACTTCTATACATTAAAAAACCCATTGACAAAATTGCAGATTTGTTACAATAAACCTAATAAAATTACATGTATTAGGCTTATTGCTTTAAAAAAAGAAAATTCGTATCAGTGTGAAAAGTATGTCCAATAGAAAAATAGCAAAGGATTTAACAGGAAATTCACAGATAACTGATAAATGATAAATCAAGTCAAGTCAA